AATCTACATCTACATACATACATACGCAATAGAGGATTCACACATTGGACCATGATATTCAAATGTGATTTACATATCAGAACCATTTTTTTATTTGTATATTAGAACTTTAAAATTATTCACGTAACCAGTGTATACTGGTCACTTAAGGCCAATATTCATGTACTAACATACTTATTCTTTGTATTTATAATTGTCATTTACTAATAAGGGTTACCTATTCCAGTAATTTACTAATCATAAGGGCAGCTAATACCATTATATAATAGCTATATACCAGCAGATTTACCACAAAGACATGTCATTTGCCACCAGTAAATGGATCCTTTGATTGATAAAAAAATAAAAAAGGATTAAAAACTGCCGACACTCTCAATATCAGACTCTTGCAGGCAGTAATTTTGTATGTTGGATGCTCCAATTATCATTAGCATTTGTTAATTTACAGTAGAAATTAACAAAAAAGAAAACCTGCATATGACCAGCCAGCAACATGAGGTGGAACTGAATCTAAGATGACAGCAAAATGACTACAGCATATTTCAGAACCTCAATACCCATCACAGCATGCTTCCTACAATCTGAGAAGCATCCAGCACATCAGCGGTATCTACAGGTGCTTTCATAGAGGAACTCAGGCTGCAGAAGGAACAGCTGATGCGCTGTATTCAATTATGAAAAAAAGAAACTGTGAAATATTATCAATGTGAAGGGTTGGCACAAAGCCACTCACTAAAGAATGAACCAGACCGTGATTTAACATGGTAGGAGTGACAAGCAAGTTAAAAAAAAATGCACAACTCTCTCTTCATTACCCTTTCAATACCAGAAGAGAATGTGACCTTCAGCAATCAAAGATAAGAGGTATTTCAGGAGGGGGGGATAGGCTGCAAAGATCAGACATGGACCACAAGTTATAATGGAGGGGGGGAAACGAGAACACATAAGATGCTCTATGTTAGCTAAGGTTAACCTTCTGCTGCTGTAATCCTGCATTAAATGCAAGCTTAATATATGCCAGGCACAGGAAGCATCTGCCCTTGGCAATCTGCATCTTTCAATACATTCTTAGCATTCCTTCTTCAATATAGATACACACCTGCCTAGTCATCAGCTGGGAACAGCACCCTTCCTGTCTGCAAGGAAAAAAGGAAAAAAAAAATATATCACACTGCTGCACTTGTGTTGGTCCCTTGTGCTCAACCATCACTGTATCTTACAGGAGCCCCTCTCTGATCAAGGGAGGAACAAGGAGCAAATGAAGGGCAAGGAGGGCCAATGCAGATCTCTTGAATGTAATCACAGGCAGCAGAGAGCTGTCAGATCTCATCTGGACACACAGCTTAAGAAATCATCATGGCCAACAACATATTGTGCAGTATTCAGTGGTGACCTTCATCACCAGCACTGGATAGCTTGGTCGCTGCAAGCTTTCAGATGAGGCTTGGCAAAGGCTGGCTTTGCTGCAGAAAGAGCTACCGCTAAAACTTAATATACTGTGAATGTAAGACGAGTAACCCATTCTCGGCCGACCTAGCATTCCACCAGGCTGGCAGGCCCATCAAACAGCAATCCAGCACAGTGGTCAATACAAGGACTTCAAACACATCACACATCTTTCTTACAGCAGCAGCGGAAGAACCGTCTCTGCTACACTGAAGCTACTTTTCACAAACATGATACATTTCAGAGGATTTATTATACAAGGTTACATAGTTACATAGTATTGGAGATTGAATAAAGACACAAGAAGCCACAAATCAAGTATCATTTTAACCCAGACAGCCTAAGAAAAGCATGTAGAACAATGTATGTAAAAGTATTCTGTTGCATCTTATGTATGTACAGTAAACAAATGCTATGGGTTTGTAACAGATACCTGCCCCGGGGATCAGTGCCACGTGCAAGCAATGGAAGACTAAACCCAGCGAGTATGCCCTAGCATCGTGCATACGCTATAAACATATCATGAATGTCCGATAGGTATGCATCCCCCAAAGGGGGGGCGCCTATGCACGCTATGTAAAGCACTGCGTAAATTGACAGCACTATATAAATAAATAAGACAAGTGTGCCTGGCAAGTAGATCCCTCAAGTATGTCCGCCCTCAAGGTTGTTACAGAGTAACCTGTGTACCAGGTTGGTAGGTTGACTGCAAGCCAGGTTGGTACATGTCCTGGAAATACAACAATGTGACCCAACTTTCGTCATCTCCAAAAAAATGGCCCAGCAACGCTTACTCACGCAGGTACATATGCCCACCAGGTATACCACCAAGGAGTACATGTGCCCTTCAGAATTCTACATGGCGATCTTGTAGCCTTCTCTTGTAGTCTTCAACTCATTTTTTTTTACTAGTCTGGTGCAAAATAGACACGCAAGGTCAATGCATGCATTACAGCAGAGGCACTCCACCAAATTATGGCCCCATGTCACAATATCATAGTGTGGGAACCAAACTGACAGAACAGTACAACAGGAATAGAACTTCTAATGAAAGCAGAACTTTATTTTTGGGGTCTCTGCACCCATTAGAGGACGGTAACGAAGACACAAGAGATGTGTTATCCAGGCAGTACAGGAACTAAGAAGCAGGTAGGCAACAGTACTCGTTATGTGGCACAAGATGTACCAACTGCACAGTCCAGGTGAGGTGACGGCACTCCAGCAGATACAAGCACTGTGACCCAGGAAGGTATAAGCACCATGAACCAGTAAGGTGCGGCCTCTGTCAGCCACATAGAATCAAATATACAACCCAGCAACCTCTATCCCTCCAATGGAGCAGAAACTACGAGTCACTCCTTGCTGGGACTTTTAGTCCCTTCCCAGCTGGAAAATGACAGGTCGAGGCAGGTCTGAAGGTGTGTAGAATAGAAGAAGCAGAGTACAGTGGTGCGAGTGTATGGGGTGAAGGGACTGACATCTCCCAGTAAAAATGTATGTAGACTGGAGTATGCGGGTAGGAGGGGGGGGACGACTCCTCTATTCCTCCCAAGCACCATGTACAACAGTGGAATGTGATGTAGTGCCTGTATGTGGGGGGGGGTAGTAACATCGGTAGGAACATGCACAGTAATATGTAAACATTCCTACATTTCAAGCACATGACAGAGGCCTGCACAGCCGGGACAGCGCGGAGTGGTGCACATTGGAATGTGGGGGCTCCCTATTGCAGCAATAAGAGGATTGCCGAGCAGGGACATCACAGTGTAGTACCGTGCAGTGTAGTGTACTGGGCTGTGTGGGGGTCTTTCATGCAATCAGCGTACAGTACAGTGTAGTGAAGTGTACTGGGCTGTGTGAGGGTTGGGGTCTTTCATGCAATCAGTGCTCAGCACAGTGAAGTGTACTGGGCTGTGTGGGGGTTGGGAGTCTTTAATGCAATCAGTGTACATTGTAGTGAAGTGTACTGGGCTGTGTGGGGGTTGGGGGTCTTTCATGCAATCTGTGTACAGTACAGTGTAGTGAAGTGTACTGGGCTGTGTGGGGGTTGGGGTCTTCCATGCAATCAGTGCTCAGCACAGTGTAGTGTACTGTGTGGGGGTTGGGGTCTTCCATGTAATCAGTGCTCAGCACAGTGTAGTACAGTGTAGTGAACTCTGTGGGGTTTGGTGTCTTTCATGCAGTCAGTGCTCAGCACAGTGAAGTGTACTGGGCTGTGTGAGGGCTGGGGTCTTTCATGCAATCAGTGCTCAGCACAGTGTAGTGTACTCTGTGGGGTTTGGGGTCTTTCATGCAATCAGTGCTCAGCACAGTGTAGTGTACTGGGCTGTGTGAGGGTTGGGGTCTTTCATGCAATCAGTGCTCAGCACAGTGAAGTGTACTGGGCTGTGTGGGGGTTGGGAGTCTTTAATGCAATCAGTGTACATTGTAGTGAAGTGTACTGGGCTGTGTGGGGGTTGGGAGTCTTTAATGCAATCAGTGTACATTGTAGTGAAGTGTACTGGGCTGTGTGGGGGTTGGGGGTCTTTCATGCAATCAGTGTACAGTACAGTGTAGTGAAGTGTACTGGGCTGTGTGGGGGTTGGGGTCTTCCATGTAATCATTGCTCAGCACAGTGTAGTGCCATGAGGAGGTCAGTACTGTACTGTGTGCAGAGTCGACTGGACTGTGTAGTGTACAGGGGTGTGTGTACCTCACTAAAATAGGTGCCCAGCACAGTAAGCTAAGCTGCGTGTGTGTGTGACAGGGCGAGTGCTACTTCATACACTCATAATATTGTGTACTTGGGGATATGGAGGGATCAGCGGTGTCTTGTAGGGAGAGGGGGGACACTCCTTCATACAGTCAGGAACCTGCAGCATGATGTATACGGAGTAGTGGGGTGGGTGTAGGGTGACTCTCAGGACCCAGTAAAGTTATGTAGCTCAGTGTTGGGGGTAGGGGTGTCTGCCGAGGTGTGTGTAGGGTGAGGGGTCTCCTCCATACTCGGAGTACTCAGCATGGTGCAGTGTATTGGAGGTATTTGTAGTTTGAGGGGTCTCCTCCATACTCGGAGTACTCAGTGTATTGAGGTGTGTGTAGGATGAGGGGTCTCCTCCATACTCGGAGTACTCAGTGTATTGAGGTGTGTGTAGGGTGAGGGGTTTCCTCCATACTCTGAGTACTCAGCACAGTGTAATGTAATGAGGTGTGTGTATGGTGAGGGGTCTCCTCCATACTCGGAGTACTCAGCACGGTGCAGTGTATAGGAGGTGTGTGTGTGTAGGGTGAGGGGGTCTCCTCAATACTCGGAGCACTCAGCACGTTGCAGTGTATAGAGGTGTGTGTGTGTGTGTGTAGGGTGAGGGGGTCTCCTCAATACTCGGAGTACTCAGCACGCTGCAGTGTATAAAGGTGTGTGTAGGGTGAGGGGGTCTCCTCAATACTCGGAGTACTCAGCACGGTACGGTGTAGTGATGTGTGTGGTGCGACTGGCGAGACTCCCCCATACACTCAGCGTCCAGCACACAGCGAGATCCCGAACTCCGCACGCAGTGACAGCCCGGCGCTCTTACCTGCCGACTCAGGTCTCCCCAGGCTCCTCCGGGCTCCACAGCCTCATGTGAATCCAAAGCCAGCGGCGGCCCCTCTCCCCCCGGGAAGGGCTCTTACCCCGTGTCCATGGTGCGGGAGCTGACTACCCTCTGCCGAGCACACCGAGCCAGCACCGCCGGGCTCCCAGCCCCGTGACGTCACGGCGCAGCCGCTCTTTGCCCGAACTGCCATTGGGGGAAGCCGGCCCGCCCAGGAATCCCATTGGAAAACCCACTGGATCCGAATGAGCCAATAGGAAGCGGTACCACCGTTGCCCGAGTTACCGATGCTGTTGATTGGGAGGAGGCGTGGCCTCCATACATACGGCTCACATTTATCCCGAGTCTATCGCGACATATGATAGTATTCGTCACTTTTCGGAACCATTCGCCGTCCAGGAGCTAGTGTGATCGCCTTGTCCTTGCAGGTTATGTTATGAATGTGACTATCTTGATACATCAGGGGGGTCGAGGCAACTCTGGAGGAAAGATCCTTTAAGAAAAGGACCAACGTGACCCCAGGGAAGGTAATAATACTCTTATATATAACCTTAGCTTTCAATGGAGATATGGACTCATTGCTGGGGGCCACTGCACTGCCCTCCAGCCACTGCAGGTATTTGACCTGTCAGTTGGCTTTATTATCTGTTTACCCCTGCCACATGCAATGGTTCCTCCCACCGCCTTATACATCCTGTAGTGATGTATTATCCGTCGGGAGAACCTACAGCGTGCAATGGGGGGTTAGCAAATATTCAATCACCTGGAAGTGTTAAGTATTTGCAGCAACCAGAGACCAAAAGAAAAGTGGTGCTTTAAGACACAGGCCATCATAAAGTTCAAGTGTAATTAAATTATTATTAAAGCCTCACAGTTTTTATCCTAATTACATTTGTACTGGCCAGTTGAGCATTGGATTTAAAATGTTTGCCGTCCAAAAAGTGCAGAAACACCCACAACTGGTGTGGTTAGGGCCGCCAGCGTCCAGCTTGCTCAGTGCCGCTTCCCTAAATGTCCGGTCGGGGCTGCACGCTTCACCTGGTCACCATTCAGTTCACTCTCTGCAGCCACACTAACCAAAGCCATTGGGGAAGGGGGGAGGGGCGTGGCTTTGAAGGTAGGGCTCAGGAGCTGTTGGCCTGTTGGGATGTACACTGTGTCAGGGCAGCCTTCAGAAATTTCGGGGCCCCTTACACAGCTTTAGGCCTGGCCCCCCTCTCCCGCACTGCCTGCGTTTAGTATCGGGGCATTTTCACGAGTATGAGTACTTGTGAAAATGCCCAGTATTGGCACCGACTGGTGCATCCCTACTTAAAAATATAATGCATTGCTGGGGCTTGTAGTCCTGCATAGTTGGTGCTATTCTGCATTGCTCTATAATGATTACACAGCAATGCCCCTTCCCGGTCCAGACTTATCTGACTCTCATGCATGGCCCTCTTCTGTGTCTCGGCGACCAGGCGGCGGGACTAAGAGGAGAGAGTCCTCACACAGAAGAATGTGCTGCCTGGCGGTGCCTGCAGTACATTCTGCTGGACCAGTGACAGTCTTTCCAGCCCCGCCGCACAGCCGCCACAGAGCGGCGGGGAAGGAGCGGCACGATCTCGGGGGGGTCCCTCTTCCTCTCTGGGCCCCCCCAACAGGTGGAACGCCAAGGCCCGGTCGCAATTGCGACCGCTGCGACCCTGGTAGTTGCTGGAATTTGTAGTCCTGTATAGGTGGTGGTATTCTGCATTCTTTACCTTACTCCTGCAGAACCTCTTTCTTCTGAGTCCTTAGTGGCCAGTGGAGGGGAGGAGCACAGCACAGCACTGTACAGGCACAGCAAGGCTAAACACTCCTTACAATGACAGGCATTTTCAGAGCCACCTGTCCCATGCCATGCCCGGTTCCACCCCTGACCTGCACACCCGACCCGCTGCACTGACCGGAAGTGACGTCACGTCACTACTGTGACGTAACTTCCGTGACGTAACTTCCGTATTCAGACGAGCAGCGTCGCTGATGGGGCCCCAGCTTGTCACGAAGCCGCTGGAGCGGCAATGCTGGGGCCCTGTGCTGCTAGTGCCAGGCCTCCGCCGCTGCTGCTGAGGGGGCCCGGCTGGCTCCTCGCCCTTCACCGTCGGCCGATACTCAAGGAGGGGTCCCAGGCGGGCCCCGGAGGCTGCCCGGGCCCCTTACATGAGTATCGGCCGTACCCCCCTGACTGCGGCCCTGCACTGTGTGCACAATTATTAGGTGAGTTGTATTTTTGAGGATTCATTTCTTTATTGAACAACTGCAGTGCTCTCCGTCAATACAAAATGTCAATAAACCTCAAGGCTGAATATTTAAGAAAGTAAAAGGGAGGTTTTGGCTTTATTAGGAGAACATCTACGGTATGTGCGCACAATTATTGGGCAACTACCCTGTTTCCCCCGAAAATAAGACCTACCCTGAAAATAAGACCTAGTACTATTTTTGGGAATTGCTAAAATATAAGACCTACCCCGAAAATAAGACCTAGCTGTGACCATTCCCAGTGCCGGTGGTGCATAAGGGGAACTTAAAGAGCTGCGGGAGAGGCAGGAGAGAATCAGCAGTGCCAACGAAGCCAGCGCTGGAGGAAACGAAGCGGCACCGGAGGGAGCAGTGCCGCATAAGCCGATGCCTCCTCTATAGCAGTGCTTCTTAAAGTGTGGGTCGCGACCCCATATGGGGTCACACAAGTGAACAGGGGGGTCACGATCTGAGTCCCCGGACAGGACCGCCATCAGGGGGGTACAGCCGGTACTTGTGTGAAGGGCCTAGGCGGCCGGGGAGACCTGGGCTCCAAGCAAGATTTTTTTTTCTTTTCGTTTAATGTGCAGTGTAGTGTAGTTTTTAAGGTCGCATACCCCCCACCTCTGTGCACTTGGTACCTTCCTGAGCACGTGCATGCAGGAAGGTTTTTTTTTTGTTTTTTTTTACATTGACGGAGCTTCCTTTAACCCAGCAGAAGTGGAGCACAGCTGCTGGAGGTAAAGATAAGGACGGAGAGGGGGCTTAGTAGTAGGTGGTAATGACACACTGAGGAAAAGAGGGGAGAGACACCGTCCGATGCTGGGGTCCCCTAAAAATGTCCTCGGCCAAAAAGGGGTCACGAGTGGAGAACGTTTTTAAGAAGGCCTGATGTAGATCACTCCCATTCATTCATAATTGAGGATACAGTTAACATACCATATTCTCAATTATGTACACACACTCAGCGATCACTGATCGCTGAGTGTGTGTACGTTGCTTTTCTCTCTGACACGCTGTCACAGGAGGCTGATCGAGCGGTGTAGAGAGGAGAGCCCAGCCTCCTGTGACAGCGCTGTCTCCGCCCCACACCGCTCTGCCAGACTGTGATAGACGGCTGAGCGGTGTGGGAGGAGAGACGCCGGCCGCTCACAGCGCTCTCGTCCTGCAGCGCTCGGCCGGCTGTCACCTTCTTTTCTCTGTTCCAGCGGGGAGAAAAGAAACCAGAGATGAGCCGATGTATCGGCCGAAACATGGCTCTTTCGGCATTATGCCAAAAGTGCTATTTTCGGCCGATATGTTTCGGCGCCGATATATCGGTGCATCCCTAGTTACAAGTGAGTAATGGCCCTAAAATGATTGCTCACATTCTGACGTTTGTGATGATATGTAACGTGCGGTGTAATGGGCTAAGAAAACCCCTCCCTATGTGATATCAAATTACAGTGACAGATCCTCTTTTTGGAGACATTAGGGGTCTCTAAGACCCCTAATGTTACATAGGGATCCCCAGAGAAGCTGATGAAGCCGACATCTGCTTCACCAGCTTCTCTCTGGCTGTCTGGAGTGACAGCTAAATGCGGAAGTGATGTAATAAACATGACTTCCGCACTCACAGAACGGGGAGGTGATCAGAGCGAGATCGTGTACTGACTCCCTCCATTTTCCCTGCACGGATCCACAATGTCGGTACCGGATCAGACGCCCGGAATCGCGGCAATGACAGCGACGATGGCAGGTAAGGAGAGGTTATTGTGACAGCATGGATGAGGGGATCCCCTACAGTGACTGCAGATGATGGACTTCACTCACTGTTCAGCCAATAATTTCAGGTCTAGCTCCTTCCACAAAAGTTGAACAATGGACTTTGATGGAAGGGAGGGGTGCAGATGGGGCCACACACTGGTTGAATTTCTGCAGGATTCGGCCAGCCTAAGATGGGAATTCACCTGGCTTTGGGAAGCACTCCTCTCCCTACATGTGTGTAACGGCAACCGTCGTCCTCCACATAGGGGGTCGCGGTTCCGTTACAGCTCCACTGCTCCCCAGGACGGCCACTTTGCGTTCCACGCTGGAACGCTGAAGACACTCGTTTTCCGGCCTCTGATAGCGCAGGCTGCGTTCAACGCTGGAACACGGAAGACACTGGTCTTCCAGCCTCTGATAGCGCAGGCTGCGTTCCACGCTGGAACGCGGAAGTTGCTCCGAGCCGACCAGCGCTCCTCCCACTTCCTGGCCCTAGTTAAACCTACATGTAAATGAGTCCGAGCAATGACTCCTCTCTATTTAGACGCCTCGCCTCTGAGGATCCAGTCACACAAATCACACAAGTTTCCTCTTGTGCGGTGCCTGCGTCTTTACATCATCTATAGTGCTCTGGGAATTCTTTCTCATGTTTTAAATGTTTAGTAACAAGACATAGTATAGGTATAGCTAAAACATGCGTCGGGTGTGCATACGTACGAGAACGAGAATAACGATTGCGCCCATTATGCCGCACATGTTACATATGGCTGCGAACGTCACAGTGAGAGCAATAATTCTAGAGCCATAAATCACTGATAACACTAAACTAATGGGCGGCAAAAGATTTTAAAGCGTCGCCTATGGTCAATTTTGGGTAGTTTTTTTGCGATTTCGCAGGTGCGTGCACTTTTAAGGCTTGACATGTTTTGTGTCCTTTTAACCGACGTGACCCCTGTCTTTTATATTTTACCAAAAATATGGGTAAGAATAAATGTATTACAACATAATGTTAAAAAAAAACCTTTTTTTTCTCAAAATGTTTAGTATTTAGTATTTTTAGTTTTCCTTAATATAATAAAAAATAAAACCCCAGTGGTGATAAAATACCACCAAAATAAAGCTCTATCTGTCCCCAAAAAATGGTATAAAATTAATTTCAGTACAGCGTTGTATGACGGAATAAATGTCAGTCAAAGTA